TATATATATATATATATGTATATAGATTTTTTTTCTATTCCATAGAAGACATACTTGAACCGTTTAATGGATATTAACAGTGTTTTGGAAACTTCTGAATTCTTTGCAAGTCATGAGGTTTGTATTTTGTGGAATGATTTCTTTGTGTGTGTATATTTTTAATTGTGTATGCCATAATTATTAATATATATAATATTAATATGAGGCTTAAAATCTAAATTTTAAAGTAGTTAATGCTCAGTTGTTAGACAAATCAAATAAACACAGCTAGTCATATTTGAATGAGTTTTTTTCCTGTGTGAAAGACTTATTTTGACCAATACAAACCATTACATACACATATATATAATCTAAGGACAACAAGGGACCTGTTTGTCCATATAGGCCATCCCATTCACTAAATTAAACTTTAAAATGAAAATGAAACACTCAAAACCAGCTCTTACCATGCAAATATGTTTATCAAACCTTCCATTAAGCTCCATTAAATTAAAGCATCCACCACATCTGAAGGCAACCCATTCTGTTAGAAAAATAAAGCTGTCTTAGCTGAAGATGACTCCTACTTTACCAAAATTATATCTGGGTCCCTTAATCCTACCATTCTTGCCGGTGAGTACAAAAGTTGCAGGAAATCCTGGAAAACATTAATGATATAAAAACATTATTTGGTCATTTGAGATCACAGTTCATTTGAAGGGTGTTATATTTTTCTGGACAGTGTGTTTAATTGTGTTACCTATGTGTTTGTATTGGGTCTATATACACAATACATGTGGTATAAGAGACCTAAACCTTTGAAATAGGGAATAATATGAAGCTAAATTAATAACAATATAACAAATACCTTATAGTTTATTCTTTAAACTTACAGGGGCTTGTCCACTGTTTAGGTTCAATGCTGTTACAGCAATAAAATATACAGAATTTTTTTGTAGGTTGTAGAGCTGTGATGATGAAAACGTTTCTTGGTAACATAATATTCATAATGTCAGAAAAACACGTAGGTTTAAGTCTTGATACAAGATGATAAAAAACCCTATAACCCAAGCGCTTTCGAAAGGTGGACTTTTCTTCTTCAGGGGCAAACTGGAGATTATAATAAATGAAAACTGGATAACATGATTATTGGTGTAATTTTTATTTACACACACACATACATGTTCACTGTAAGAGAGTATCATATCAAAAACACCTTAGGTGTGAAAAAAAAGGTGTGGCCAAAAAAGGATTGAGCATGAGACTTAGAGGAATGAAATAAAAATTGGCAGCCAAACTGGTAGCTACACTTATAGCATTGATAAGAATTTTACCACAAATATTCATTCATTATTTAGCTAGTCCGAGGTTTTTGTTCAACTTGGGGAATGATGGTGGGT